ATTTTTTTCAAAGATGATCAGGATCCTCTGAAACGTCAAAAAACAAGGCTGAGGTATTTCTTCGTTTTTGGCTTTTTCCCGCCGCCAATGGACCGATTTTCAAAAGCTAGCAAGATTTTTGTCCTTGGCATAGTAATAATCTTGTGTAAAAATTTCATCCAAATCGGAGCAGTGCTTTCCAAGTTATAGATGGGCCAAGGATTAACGGACAGACCGACATGTAGCCATACTGCATACGAGTACAGACCAACGAAAATGGGTGACATAGGTATTCGTGTTTTACATGTCATATGATAAGATCCAAAAACATACATCTCATTTTCTGAATGTTTCGCGATTTCAATACTTCCTCACCAGAGGGCGCTGGAAATAAATGCGAGTAGTTATTGAAAACCGCACTATACCACAACGTAAGTATACTTTTGTTAACACCTCCTCTCATGCTTTGTCCTGATTCCTTATACCAATCCTTGAATGCTAATGGTACAACCTTTACAAATAGAATTGAGAACAAGGTAGAAATTGCCCAATGTCCTGCTTCACGTTGTAATAGCTAATCTTGAGCCAAATACTGCATCTTGACGACCATTCAATAACCCCATTCTCGGACAAACTGTCACCACACAATCTGGGATAAGGCAATATAAGTGCTCTAATCTAGGACACTAATACAGAGAGAAGATGCAGTAGAACGAGGAAATGAAAATCGGGCACAACCCATATCGGTCGACTCTAAGTTCCTTTGTCAGCGCACAAAGGGGGTCAAACGGGAGGACTTTACTATTAAAGGCACGAATTTGCTGGTAATAGAGATTGTTCGTGCTCTAAGTTATCGTTCACTTTTGCCATACAATAGAAATTAAGGAATTGAAGCAGGTTTGATAGAGGTACGGAATGAGTTAAAGTTAGTAAAAGATGGACTACGTTGGAATTACAAAAAAACAAAATTGGTGTATCTTTCAAGCAAATGTCACATAATGAGTATTACTGTGATTAGTCAGTATTTATAATTGAATGTGATATTTACTAATCGTGTAGCCAAGATGTCAGTAATTAGTACCGAGATTCAAATGCCTCCCCATAGCTGATTTGTTCAAAAAGGTCTGTACCAAGAAACTGTCATCAGTTTCGTGATCTACACATCCGATTCACCAAAATGCAGATTTTCTACGACCTACGGATTTTGCACCTCAGGCCTACGAATGATCGCAGTTCGTTACACTAGGGTAATTTCGAATAGTGCTATGAAAAGATGCTAAAGTTTCTCGAAGTGCTATTACGGATAAAAGAATAGGACTTTCGAGTCATCGTGTCGATCGCTGCAAAAAATTGATGTCAGATTTGGTATCCTCACAAACATCGTATCCAAGATGCAGATTTTGGGTGAGATTCCAGATACGCAAATATTTCTCAATACTATGTTTTTAAATATTAAGTTTCTCAATGCAATATTTTTGTTTTCGTTACTCGTGGCTGAGAACGGACGAAACTTGATCGAAAAAGGTATCTTAGGTCACTGTTTCCAAATACGTCCGTCAAAAAATTCTCTGGGAAACGGACGTCAATCTTGATTTATGATTTACTATAGATTATTTTATCTGGGCCTTGTATAGAGTGATGGATTTAGATGGTGCATTATATTTCCTAACTTTAATCTCATCGATATAACTGCATTTGCTATATAATTTAACGATAAAGCAAAATCAAGTCGCTCGAGAATACAATTCTTAATCTGATTGAAGCACTTTCTTAACAGCTAAGAGCCCGTTATTACACTATAAAAGCAATGTGCCACAGCATAATCGTTCTCAATTTGCATGCATTTTGTAGCAAAAGAAAAGCCCGTTGGTTCGAGTTCGAGTTTCATAATCTGATGCAGGAGCAGCAGAATTCAGAACCAACCCACAAAACGTAATAAGATGGAAATGTGTTGCGGAAAATGGAAAGCATTAGAGCGTGAACTTATTAGGCATCGAGACGTCTAGTTTGGATGACCCTGCCAAATTTGCGAACTATCCAGACTGCTCCAGAGGTCAACTTCGATCGCCTTTTTTGTGAATAACCTTAAAATTGGGTTAGCAGTGTTCTCTGGCATGATCTACTTCAGTTCTTTTGGTTTGCAAATGCTTATTAAGTAATTTCAATAATAATATTTTGATAAAATTCCTCAATCCAAAAAAAAATAATTCAGGTATTAGTTTCCACGCAATCACATAAGCCTACTTAATATTTTAGATATACAAAAATCCGTAGCGTTATTGATATACCTGTATGTACTTGAAATATGCCTTGTTCCAAACTTACTGAGGCCCTAAAAGATATGATGAAAACCTAAAATTACCAAAAAGCCAAAGCGCCTTGACAAGACCAATATTTTTCAAACCTTTGAGTTCTCGGAGAAATGTCTTTAGATATACCTAAAAATTATGAAATACTCGAAAAGCATCAAAAGGAGAAGTCTGGGGAATTCTATAAAGTACTTCATGGGAGCTGTCAAAGAAAACCAAAGCATCCATAGAAGCTTTCAGTAGCTCTGCTTCAGAAAAACCGAACCATAAAGCTTTGCTTTCCAAGCACTTCATAAAAGCTACAAAAGATAGTACCAAAGTACTTCATCAAAGCACTTGGAAGCTATTCTTCGAAAGACAACCAAGGCACTTCATGAAAGATGATAAAGGCTTCATTTTAGAAGAAATCCAAAGAATTATTGGAAGCTTTCAAAAGCTTTGTCCGACATAAAAACCAAAGCATTTCATCAAAGCTGTCAAACAGTTTTCTTCAGAAAAATAGAAATGTATAAAGTTTTGCATTGCCAGCACTTCAAGGATCTCAAAAGCTGAGCTTCAGACAAAATCCACATCACTTCATGAAAGCGACAACTTCAGCACTGCATGAGAGGTCTCGGAAGTCTTGCATCAAAAGAAAAGCGGGATACTTCATGAATGCTGCCGAAAGCTTCGCGTCACAAGAAGCTTTTGTACAAAAGAAAGCGAAGCAATTCATAAAATATGACAAAAGCTTCATTTTAATAGTAAACCAAAGCACTTCATGAAAGCTCTTAAAAGCTTTGCATCAGAAGACAATCAAAGCACTACATGGAGGCTTTAGGAAGTCTTCTTCAAAAAATCCTTATCGATCCCATTATTAGTATTTTAATACTTGGCAGGCCAAAAAGTAATTCGAATCGAAAGCGATCGTAAGCTATTTTTGTCTGAGCTTTGAGAACGCTTTTTTCTGGATACGTGTCTGCGATAGAACAGTATCTAAAAAGCATAATTCAAGCAGTCCCACCCATGCCGTATTTTATCCACCTTAAGATTTTTCAAACTAATTTAGCACGAAGCCTTGATCCGACAAAATAATAACACAGAAAGCTGCTAAGCTACAATTGTTTTGCCTTCAACGTGTCTGGAATGTATAGATTTTTTTAATAATTCATCACTATTCAAGGTATCATCGTCCGAATTATTTACAGTAACAACATTCACCCAGTTTCACTCGTGCTAACCTAAATACCATCAAATTACCTGTTTACGCCTTTGAAGTTTATTACTAGATGCCAAATTGATTTCCTTACATCTATCGCTATCCATACTACAACCCGGCTAGTGCTTAAAGTACTTTCAGACGTTAAACACAACAGAAATAGTTACACTGATCAGTGACCGTGTCACCGTTTTGAGTATGTCATTGCAGCTAGTCCCGCTCGCGAATCAAGCTATCGGTGGCTTGATTCATTTGTTTTTACGGCAAACATAATTCGTGTTCACTTAGGTAAATATAGAGAGCTTGAAATAAAAGAGTCTTGTCACCCGCTGTGTGAAAGTTCCGCCCGGATCATCGTAAGCTGTGCAAGGGTGTGCGATAAGCTTCCGACTGGCCGAACCCAAAAAGTTCGCGCCCGATTATGAGCGAAGTACGGCGAAAAATGTCGAACAGGTTTCGATCCAAGCAGGAGCAACACATAGCAACCGAACGCTGGTGATTTCAGCGCCATCTGCCGGGATATAATCCAGTCAAATTGTTATTCATTTAGGATACATTTTTTAGAAACGTGAATGTTTTTGTTGTCTTTAGCAGGCTGAGAAAGCTTAAGCGACCCAATGTTGGTCAAGCAATGGGCCAACTGGCAAGGAAGCCTTGAAATTGCAAAATAAGTCGAAAATACGTACTTTTTTTGATGTTACAACATGAAAAACGATAATGAGAAGCGCGATTCTGTGTATGTCATCTTCGCATCTACGAGTATATTGCTAATACACACTTCTTGTTTTTGTTTTGTTGCCCTCATCATACAACGACGCGATAATGATAGGTCATATCCAAAAATACTCGCTGTATTCTGTATGGTAGGTAGTTTCTTTAATTTCCTTGAATGTTGTAATATTTTTGTATGCTTTTTATACGGTTGCCATCTATTTCATAAAGAAATAACTATAAATTCAGAGCTAGTGTCAAGATCACTTGGGGAAAGTCTTGCAAAAAGCGGAATTCAAAAATGTCGAAATACTCATTTTTTTTAGAAGAAGTACATATTGATATTGATCATTGAGAGTATTCAAAAAATGAATGAATTAGGTTAAAATTCAGGATATCAAAAATACTTGACACAGAAATTCACTACTCCACCTGTCAAATTTGAGTGCCTTTTCAGATAAAATTCTAAATAGGTTTTTGTGAGTTCATCAATTGCGACTGCGACTCACTGGTAACTCCGACCTACTGAGGAAGTTGATCAGCTTATTTGGAGAAATATATTTCAGGTCCTCTACTTGGAGTACTACTCCCCCAAGTGTATTGGGCGATTGCAAGGCATCTGCACAAAACATTTCGGCTCCCTCCATGCACAGTCTGCGCTTACTCAATATCTCAACAACTAATAATAAAAACCCATCCGTATGTTATGTCAATCTTTGTTTAATGGGTCTATCCGAATATGTAATAAGAAATATGGCATACCATTTAAAAAATTACTTGTATAATTATGAGTGTTTCATCAATCTGCCTCCAAATACATGTATAACCCGTAAATAGCTTATTTGGAAATTTCTGTTTAGAAGCAATATACCGACCTCGCATGGATGGGACACTTTGTATTGTTTACCCTGTATTTTGACCTGTCTAATGAGTAGATAATTCAATAGATTCAAGCGTACAGCTCATTCCAGAACCTGTTTTATTATTTCAACCTTCTACACCAGACTCATTAATGTTATTATTATTTTTTGTCTGTTCTTTTTTGGGTTCAACTATAACGTTGACCCCAACATCCACCTTCTGTGTTTCAACGTTACCTATATTTTTGGTGGTACTCCTGGTGCTGTTCTTGCTAAAATCTGATCTCTTTTTGCCGGGTTGCGCACATTTTGTCAGTTTTGCTTTGATTACTTCCACGGATATTCCCTTTTGTTTGGCCAGATCTTCAATCACCTATTAGAACCAATTAAGGATGTCTTCAGGGCGTGGCTCAATTCGGTACAGTAGATAAGAACGATTGGACTGTTTGCCAGAACAATAACAGGCGTATTCCATAGCATGAGTAGATGTTATATGTATTTTAGAAAGGCTAACGATATCCAAATATAATACTATTATTTATTTATTTATTGGGTGTTGTAATAAGTAAATAATAATAAAGATAAACGTACCATTTATGATACGCGTATTTCATATGCCGCATAATTAGAAAGATCTTTACAAGTATGTACCTATAAATGATCAATGAAGCATTGCTACATTATATTCTGCTGTATACTAACCGAACAAAATTCATTAAAATTGATCCTTCTAGCCTTCACCTTGTTGAAGCAAAGAGCCAGGTCCCTTACGGAAATCCTTTTGCTGATTACTCCAGCTTGTTTGAACCAGAGATCCATCTGGATAAGGCTGATCGTAGTACCATCTTCCTTGCGTTGTTCATACTTTGCAAATATGCAGAACTGGTCTTCTAGAATTGGCATAGAATGATGACCATGTAAGGTGAATGTGTGACTTACGTAAACATGATGATGATGGTGAGATGATAGTACTGGAAATTTTGACGTTGACGATTATGGGTTAGGTTGACATTGATATATAAGTGACTTAGGCATCGTTCTGACTGAAAGCAGGTGCGCGCGTATTCTGTATCGTTTCAGAAACAGAGATTTCTTACTTTAGGTATAGACAGGCTGTTTCTTTCTATTTCGTGTACTATTCTCTCTACGATACATGTGAACTATCCATTGAAAAAACCTTTACCTATTTTAGGGAAATTTAGGAACCCATTCGGTTAAGTTGGCAACGATATAGAATACTTTGCTTCTTGAATTTGTCGATTTGTCGGGAAGTTTCGGATTAAGAATAATTTATATTTTGTGATTCATGTTTATGTAAGGAGATAACAGTAAAAAATAGCACCTACGTGTTTATGCAAGTATGGCGCCAATATTCCTTCATTTGCTACAGGACACAGAATATGAAGAAGCACAAAACGAAATTGCGTATGAAGCGGAGAACTTTACGATATCAACAAAATGCATTCGAATTGCCTGAACGAGAGTTCCGAAAGTGCTTCAGGCTTCGTCGGTAGCTGGTACAAGATCTCATTCATGATCTTACCTCTTATATGGATGCAGGAGCAAGAGGCCCACGAATTCCCGTCAATATAAAGATCTTTGGTGACCTAAGGTTTTTTGCTCAGAAGGCAAGAGGAAATGAAACGTATGTGGCACTGTCACAACCAGAATTTCGCAGAGCATTGTCTGGGGTTTGTCTGGCCCTAGAGGCAGCTGCTTATAGATGGGTAAAATTCCCGTTAAATAAAGCTGAAAAGCGACAGGAAAAAGAACAGTTTATGGCGCAATGTGGATTTCCAGGAGTGATAGACTACATTGTTGGCACTCATATCGCCAGTGTTACACCTCAAGACGATGAACCTCTGTATTTCAACAGAAGGCAATATCATTGAAAAAATGTACAATTAGTATGTGATGTTAATCCATTGATTCTAAATATAAAAACAAATTATGGTGGAGCAACACTCATGATGCTTTTATCTTGAGAAATTCCAATGTAAGGACACATTTGGAAGAAATGTACCATCATGGTGATCATAATTCATGTCTAATTGGAGATAGTGGAAACAGCAGCGCGTTAGTGCTTAGTCAGGATTTACATGCTAATGATCTGTGTTGATGACGATGATAGCTTTAGTTTCTTGTCTAGAATACATTTACTTGAGATGTATCAAGTGCATCCTAGAAATTCTATATTCAAATGCATACCTAATTACACCAAACGCGGGCGCGGTGGGATTTTCCCGTAATGTTTCTCAAAGTTTTTAAGTGCGCAAAGTATTGAGGAAAATCGAAACTTATAACTTTGGACATAACTTATTTTCAGAAAGAACAACACAATAATATTTTTATCACATAGCAAATGTCACTGATTTTATACACACGCAGACCAATACACCATACAATCATGCAGATGCGATCTTGCTACTCTGCTACTCGACCAATTTTCTTTCTGATACATCTTCTCAGGGATATACTCTACAGTCTATCTCGCCATTTTGCAGCCAGCAAAGCATGTTGGCGAACTGACTTGCAGCATAGTCGTTGAGCACGTTGTTGAGTCATTCCTGCATAGGCGATGCTATGAATGACGCTCACGGCGCTCATAGCTAGCAAGAGCGGAATGAACTACTTGTACAAGGAGCTATCTAGTAATTTTTATCGTTTTTTTACATCATATAGGTTTTCGAGATAATAACCCTACAGGTTTGCTTTTTGGTTGGAACCATGCCTTGGGGGACATGAAGGTAAAAGTCATTTTTGGACTGCCATGTGCGCTTGACATATGTCGAAATGTATTTAACTTCATCAAAATCCCAGCATCATTCAAAACTCATAAGATCACCTTCACATTGCTATGGCCTCAGGAGGGATAGACAACCAGTCACAAGTCTCACTAGAATACCAGTTCGTCCTCTTCGCCAAATTTGGGGATACTAATGCAGACGGCAAGACCATTACCTTAACCCAAATCGACAAGTGGTTCAAACAAGCTGGTGTTTTCGATAAGAAGCTCACCACAACTGATACAGCCATATCTTTCGGAAAACTCAAATCGAAGACTATTACGTTCAAGGATTTCTGCAACTTCATTGAAGATTTGGCCAGTCAGAAGAAGATTCCCTCCGACGAAATCAAAGACAAACTGATCCACTGTGGACAGCCTGGGATGAACAAGGTAATTTGTGCCTTCCTTCAGCAGCAATGCAAGCTTGACATATTGACAGCTGCTTCCGTTATTTTGTCCCGTAGCTCAGACAAATGTTCGACTGGCTTTGAGTAAACTTTTTCTTTTGCTGCTCCCCAGTAAAAAAATTGCGTAGATTTGAGTTAGGTGAACAGGCTGGACACGAAATTGTATCAGACCGCCCTATCCATCTGCTCGGTTATTCCGCATCATATTCTCTAAATTAACGGGCATAAGGCGCCGGGCAGCCGTCTTGCTGGTACCACATGTCTCTGTAATTGCTTAGTGGCACGTCTTACAATAAATTTGGTAAACGATTTTGTAAAAAGTGTACACAAATTTCGCCATTCAAGAACTCTGCCAGCTCAAAGGGCACAATGAGTCTCCCATTTAGAATCCTGGTCCGCATGTTTAAAACGATACTGTGCTTCCTTGTCCCATCAAGTGTGGATTTTATACATGCCACTCGTGTAAGTTGTGTAGATTCATGTAACAATCTTTTTTAAATGTCGACTAATCAGTCCATAACATTTTTTCCAAAAACCGTGGATCTTCCCGATGTCTCTGTAATATTGTTTGACAAAACTTAACTTTTCGAAGATAATCCCGGGGTTGTAGAGATTGCACTCGCTGTACGTGGTACTGGTGGAGCTCGTTCTTTCACAAGATTCGGTGAGCTGTACTTTTGGGCACTCCCGTGCTTGCTTCTATTTGACGCACTGAAGTATTCGGGTCTTCTTCAACTTCTTGTAGTACGACGTCCTCGTAAGGAATGTAAATTCTTCCAACATCAAGAGCTCTACTCGTATTTGGGAATCATCCTTCTGAGAGTAAACGGTGCACATTCACAAAAACTGTGTGATCGGGATGAAGAGCAGCATCTCACGATAAAGCCTAGCTGCAGCACCAGCATTGCATCTACATTCCCCATAAATGAGGCGCACGTTGGCGTATTCCTATTCTGTGTACACAGACATGGCGGCACTATACAATCATGAATTAATAAAGATGGCGTTACTATTTGCCTTGTTGACGCTATGTAGAACGACACTATCCGTCACTCCGTCTAAGAAAAAATTTGTAGCAGTGGGAACTAAAAAATGATCACAGGGTGTAAATTTTTCCGATTTTTTTAATGCCTATAATTTGAAAGGTGTACGACTTAGATTTTGTTTTATATTTTTCTGATAACTATTATGACTTGGCCTATCCCCCGTTCCCGGCTTGACGTCTACTTCTGGGACACCTTGCATGTTAAGTTAAACGAAGAATATTTTTCAAGATTATTCCTTCGGTACAAAAGTAATTATTTATAACGATGAATACTTATTGACAATTGATAGGATCATCATAAAAATCTAAATAAGTAAACATCATAATAGGTTGTAGAACGGTGAAAAGGTAGTACTTGTATCATACAGAGAATAAGAGCAGTGTAGTTTTAAGACTACTGCCTTTTTGCCTTGTTAAAATAACTTGCTTCTTTTATGCTTAGGAAATGTAGTTAATATAAAATATTTGACAAAGTGAAAAACTAACTATATTTGTTAAATAACGTGATCGATAATATATTTTGTAATTGTAATCATAAAAAAAATGTATTGGCATCAAAACTTAATAAAAGCTGTAAATAAATATACAGTATACTTCTCAACTCATGTATTTATCTATTTAATCAGCAAACGCAAGCTGTGAAATCGGGAGCCGTGGATAGGCTGACGGATACTTCGAAGTACACGGGGAGCCATAAGGAGAGATTTGATGAAAGCGGAAAGGGTAAAGGTGTGGCTGGTAGGGAGGACGTTGCCGAGGACACCGGATATGTCGGTGGGTATAAAGGGCAAGGGACGTATGACAAAAAATGATAATGAACACTAAAGCGAAGCAATATTCCGGCGCAAATTTCTGTGATATTGATACGATGTTCACTGCCCAATCGAATGAATATATCTCCCTAGAAAATGTAGAAAAAATAAATATGGTATAAATACACTACTCTTTTATTATAGACAGGTAATGTTTCTTTCTGAGGCTATAGTAAAATACCAAAATTAATCACAGTAGCGAAATTCATCGTACGACACTGCTATTACGCGGAGGCTTTGACAATGTGGCGCCTCGTTATGAAATATTGGCAAACGTCCCTGTAATCAAAAGGTAGCACGTCAAAGCAGTGGCGCACGATGACTTCTCGCTCACGCAATTTCGAAATTCAAAGCTCTTCTGTACGGAGGCAGAAAAAACTGAATTTTCCCAAAGTAGTTTTATTGTTTTTCTGGCTGCATTTGTAGTGGGATTAGAAAAAAAATGCACATCAACATTGCCACTGTTTCACCTCTATAAGATGGCATAATTAAAATTTCAATATGACGTTTCGTCTTGTGTCCTCCAGCATCAACTTTATTTTCTCTCATGAACGCCATATTGGATTTTTGCACAGACGAGTAGAGTTTTTGATTATAATTTCAAATATGTCATAATATTATATTGATATTGCCAAACCTCAGTTGCTTCAGAAAAACCGAATTTCTTAGGTAGGCCTTGAAGTTGTCACACAGTAATTTATTTCATATAGCAGATCAGACCTCAAATTAAACATAGCGTCAGAGCTTGGAAGACTGAGAAGAAGGAAATAAAATAAGTAGTGTATAATCTACAAAGAAGAGTCAGGCTTTGCCTAAAAAATAACGGACAGCATATTTATGATTATTATTCTCATTAGTTATATCCATCAATAAAATTTTTATTTTGTGCTCAGGTTCACCATACCTTTTGATTTCCTTAGAATTTTCGTTCCAGCAACAAATTCATGGCAAACTAATACATCACTGAACTTAGGGCTGAAAAATCCCTTTAACTGTTCCAATTGTAACATAGAGACACATCTGTGCGGTTTAAAATAAAATGATTGGGCTGTTAACATAATGAAATAGATGTCAAAACTTCTGGAAAGGAACCGAACCACCGCAACCCATAAAGTTTGCAGCCTTCCAACAAAATCTTCATCCTGAGAATGGAGTGAGGAAAGCGCCGTATAGGGGCACAAACACACAAAAAGAGTGCTCGTAAAAGTTAAACATTTATTCGATAAGCGATGTGATAAGAGGAAATACTAAGCTCTAATAGAGATTCAAAACACCAAAAAGGTTAATATTTATAGAAATGTATGTTGTTAATTGAATGCAAGAAAGTGTTTCGGCAAAAATTGCTGAAAATCTCGAAAACTATCAAACATTTACTAAAACAAAAGTTTTGCATATACAAGGTCTGTAAGTGATGAGACTGGAAACATAGTGTTCCATCTCGCAATACTGGAGACCCCGGGTCTGGAAGGGAGACAGGGTAACATGTCATTGTGTGACATCAATTTGCAGGCAGCAGCGGTGGCCGCAGTAGTAGACTCTTCGGTCTCCTGATCAGTCGCCGTGCGCTGTGCGGGTTCGAGTCTCACTCCCAGGAGAAATTTTTCTCTTGGCTATGGATGTTGTGATTATCCGTAGGAGGTAGACGGTCTCTGACTGTCGAACGCGGAGGTACCACCCGGCGGATCTCGTTGGCGGAGCCAGAATGTGTGCATGTTGCATGCACACGTGTTCCCTCGCCAGAGTCTGTGTGGCGTCCCCCCTTTCCCATGTATCCCCCTATAGCCCCACGGTACCCAATGGGTGCTTAGGCCTTAGGCCTTCTGGTAGTTGAAGTATAAAAAAAAATAAAAAAAATCACGCAACGGTGTGCTCTCACGTTTTGATTCAGACTTGGATACAGTGCAACGGAAACTCTTGCTAAACAGGCCTACGAAGATAGTGTTTTTTTCGGTGGTTTAATGCATTTTTAGAAGGGACAAAGTCGATGGAAGATGAACCACGAAGCAGAAAGCCTTCACCTTCAAGAACCGGTGAACCGTTTATTTAAAAAACGTCAAAAAAAAAGAAAAACTTTCAACTTTCTGCCTAGATAGTTCCTAGTGTTCAAATAGTACGTTCCGCGTTTGCTCGCTATGAGTGTTGTGTCATTCATAAAGGAATGACTCAACGACACGACACGCTCATTGACCATGCTGCAATCAAGGAGTGAGTTCCTCATCATGTTTTGTTGGTTGCAGAATGCCGAGATAGTCTGTAGAGTATACTCTGAGAAGATGTGTGGCTGATTAACAGAGTAGCAAAATCACATCTGGATTATTATTATTGTATATTAGTCTGGATGTATATAATATCAGTGATAATTGCTATGTGAGAAAATTATTACTGAATACGCTGCCCATGAACTACGAGGGGGTACAAAAAAAAAACGGAATTATTTTTTAAAAGCTATTTATTTTCAACTTTTTCACAAAGTAACCTTATCTCCTTCAAAGTACTGTCTACTACAACTAATACACTTGTCCCACCGGTGCTTCCACAACTCGAAACACTTCTTGAAGTCTTCCTTAGGAATTTCTGACTGCTCCTACCTCGTTCTTTTCTTAACCTCTTCAATGTCGTCAAAGAGGCGTCCTTTCATGCCCCTTTTCATCCGTGGAAATAAGAAAAAGTCGCACGAAGCCAGGTTAGGCGAATAAGGTGCGTGAGGCAGCGGAACCATGCCAATTTTAGCCAGAAACTGTCGAACAGAGATGGCTGTGTGCGCAGGTGCATTATCATGGTGGAAGAATCAGTCTCCTGACTGCTACAAATGGGGTCTTTTTTGCCGAACACTGTTTCGCGATCGTCTTAAAAAATCCAAATAGCAGAAGCTCTCGAATTTTTTCATCATTTTCGACAATTCGGGCAGTTGATGGACGTCCAGAGCGAGGTTTGTTATCATGTCATCAATCGACATGTAGCCATTTTTAAATCGAGCAAACCACTCGGTCAGCTGAATTATTCCCATGGCATCATCTTTGTAAGCTATTTTCAACATTAAAACAGTTTCAGCAGCATTTTTACCAATTAGATAGCAAAATTCCACAGCTGCAGGTTGCTCACTGAAGCTTGCCATCGTAACAAACGGAACAAGCACGAAACAGCCCTAGTAAAAATAATGAGAGGAACGAAACAAGCCAGATCGACAACTCAGGTAGCACTGAACTGGTGATGAGTTGCGCTGTACGCCTCTAGGGGCAGACATGTACTACACAAGCTCCGCCCACTGCAATGCTATTCCGGTTATTTTTGGGTACCTCCTCGTATATCTATTAGCTGTATCAGACGGGTTATTTGCGCTGTCCTTTCGGAAGGGAGTTTATGTTCAAAGTTAAACAAAAGCTTTAAGAAGCATTACAGGAAATCAGCACCACATCCGTGATGTGTGTATTTAAGCGACATCACAGAACAATTAGGAATGACGCACCACATTCAAAACATTTCCGTACTCCCTGACATCTAGGCGCTGATTTGTATTTTCTACTTGACATCATAAAATATGACTGAGAATAAAAAATTAATCTAAAGTGTAATAACTTTTTTACGTACCATGAAAATTCCTATATGTAACATATTTTCTCACCAGTTAGTTTTAATATACTTCACTAATCAAGGATTTTATTCACTTATTTATTCTCTTTCTTGAATTTCAGTAAATTTGCGTATGTACTTAATTTCCAGGTTGAATAAGAAAAAGCGGAAGCGCAACTAATTTTTAGCTTTGCATACAGCTCAAGTAAGTATATTTGAGACAATAAACCAATGGCATTATCATCAACACATATTATCACACAAATCCTCACTATGCACCTATGCTCTGCCGTTTCCTTCCAGTTATAGTATATAACTTACAGCTTAGACCTCCAATAATGCATTCTCTGAAGCAAATGTTACATCACATCAGAGCCAAACATTGGTACCTAAAGCATCATAACGTTTAGGCGACACGTACAGCTGCGGAACGAGCACACAACAAATGTACAACAGCTAATGCTAAGTTGACATCTTGTAGCAAAGACTTAACTTAATGTCACAATGAACCTATATAAAGTCAAAAACAGACGACACAATGTCACTTTTCAAGATACGTAATACCACTGCGTTATCTTGTGCGTTTAAGGCGTCGGCTGACAGTCAGAATGATCGGGAAAGAGTTAAATTTGACTCACACCACAGTTCATCAGATCAAGAACAACTGGGTGTTGCATCACGATAATGCTCCTTGTCACACAGCGATGTCAATAAACAAGTTTTTGGCCAGTATCCACATTCCTGCGGCTCTTCAGCCTCCTTATTTGCCTGTTTCTCTTTCCTAAATTGAAGAATCACCTCAAGGGAACTCATTTTGGGCAGTCGAAATCATTCAAACGGCTGTAACCAACCAGCTAAGGCTATTCCAGTGTCGGAGTTCCAGCACTGCTATGAGGGGTGGAAGAACCGTTTCCAAGTTATATTGAGAGTGACAGCATAAAATTGTAATTATTGACAATATTAAAAAAAGTCAGTCTCATCCCTTAATTTACAGCCTCGTATGAGGTCATAACGTGACTTACTTGCAGTTGAAGGATTATCTTTCAACTTCTGGACACCATGTGTTTATCTATAAGCGCTTTCGAATGCTACTCTTTAACGATCCACCACACCGATGCGGTAATGCCATAGCGATAATCGCACCGCTATCCATGCGGTCCTCAGTTTTCAGAGCGGTAAATAACACATTTCAGAAACGCTGCTGACGCGGCTTGTATCGCATATCGCCACGTTTTTCACGATGTCCACAATGAAGAAATCAATTGAACGAGTTAACAAGTACCCAATATTGTACGATATAAGTCACGAATACTATAAAAATGTAGGAAAAAGGATAAAGTGTGGGATCACATTAAATTTAAAATTTCATCGAAACAATCGTGAGTCATTCGAAAGTACACGTAAAAACGTTGTGGATCTCTACGCAATTCGGGCATTGAAGCACAATATTCTCCATATATAATTCTTTGTTTATTGATATCATGTAGCCATTTCTTCTTTTTCTTTAAACACGGTAATTAATTATTATTAACTAATGGTAATCATCAAAATACACAG